GAAAACAATTTATATATTCTACTAAATTCCAATTTGCTTCAAGTCTTCCTCTCTATTTATACATCATCTTCAGCAATACAACAAAACCACACACTAAACCTCCATCTCTAGTCACAAAAACCTCTCCAAAGTCTGAATTTTCATTCACACATTCTCAACACTCTCTCTGTTTTATTCCTTCAGAACTATAAACTCTTCTTAAGATGTATGAAAAAATCAACAAAAAGTCTCTCAACATCTCAAGCATGTTCGGAAACTTCATCCCGGACAGCGACATTTTCTCCAGACGCTGCATTTGGGTCAACGGGCCGGTCATAGTCGGAGCTGGCCCATCTGGCTTAGCTGTAGCTGCTGGCTTGAAACGTGAAGGTGTACCGTTCATAATCCTCGAGAGAGCCAACTGTATTGCTTCTCTATGGCAGAACAGAACGTACGATCGTCTCAAACTCCATCTCCCTAAACAGTTCTGCCAACTACCCAACTTTCCCTTCCCTGAGGACTACCCTGAATACCCAACCAAGTTTCAGTTCATTCAGTACCTTGAGGACTACGCAACACACTTCGACATCAACCCTAAGTACAACGAGACGGTCCAGTCAGCGAAATACGACGAGACGTTCGGGCTGTGGCGTGTCAAGACCATTTCCAAGAGCGGGCAGCTCGGTTCTTGCGAGTTTGAGTATATCTGCAGGACGCTTGTGGTGGCTACGGGGGAGAATGCTGAGAAAGTTGTGCCGGATTTTGAAGGGCTTGAGGACTTTGGTGGAGATGTTCTTCACGCTGGAGATTACAAATCCGGTGGAAGGTACCAAGGGAAGAAAGTTCTGGTTGTAGGATGTGGAAACTCTGGTATGGAAGTGTCTCTTGATCTCTACAATCATGGAGCAAACCCATCAATGGTCGTTCGTAGCTCGGTAAGTAAAACAAAAACAGAGCATTCTCTGTTTTTTGTTGCTACTCTGTTTTTGAAAACAGAGCGTCTAATAATACTCTGTTTTCTTCTTGGTTTATACAGGTTCATGTGTTACCAAGGGAGATTCTTGGTAAATCTACGTTTGAATTAGGAGTCACAATGATGAAATGGATGCCGGTTTGGCTCGCGGACAAGACACTGCTCCTACTAGCTAGGATAGTCTTGGGGAACACTGATAAATACGGTCTAAAAAGGCCGAAAATCGGACCGTTAGAGCTAAAAAGCTTGGAAGGTAAAACGCCGGTTCTTGACATCGGAGCATTACCAAAAATCAGATCAGGAAAGATCAAGATCGTCCCAGGAATCATTAAGTTCGGTAGAGGAAAAGTTGAGCTAGTTGATGGGCGTGTTCTTGAGATTGATTCCGTTATTCTAGCTACTGGTTACAGAAGCAACGTCCCTTCATGGCTTAAGGTAAATTACACAACACATCTTTCTTTGTTTCTTTTAAATATTTCACCTTAAGTTTTGGAACATTTAATGATGTCGGAAGAATAAACATAAATATACCCACCCGACCCGGTCCGAGTCTTGTGAAAACCCGACTAAAGTTGTGTTTTGAATGTGAGCAATTAATGCAAAAACCAAATTTAGTATTTACATTTATATTTTTTTTTCATAGAAAAGGATACAAAATCGTGGTACGAGAGTTTTGGTTAGATATATATAAATCCGGTAATGACAGTTATGTTATTTAATGAATGTGAGTACTAATTGAAGTCATGTTTGGTGTTGGATTTTTTCAGGACAATGACTTCTTCTCTGATGATGGGATACCGAAAAACCCGTTTCCAAACGGATGGAAAGGAGAGGCTGGTTTGTATGCGGTCGGCTTCACGAGGAAAGGATTGTTTGGTGCGTCGCTTGACGCGATGAGTGTGGCTCACGATATTGCATGCAAGTGGAAAGAAGAATCTAAGCAACATAAGAAAACTGCTGCAGCTCGTCATCGTCGGTGTATCTCACATTTCTAATTATAAATCATTTTTAGAGGGGAAAAAGATACAAAACGGAGATGAAATGATCGTGGAAAAAAAAAATCAAAGAGATAACTAAGCCCTCTCTAAAGAAAAAAACCCACGAACAAAAAAATGGGGGGTTTTTTCTTTGTTTTTAAAGAGATGTGGCTTTATATGTATATTTTGGTTTATTATTTTGTTTTGAGAATGTTTTTATTTTATTTTCATTGTGTATTATTTTTCTTCTGCATTTTAGATTCTGAACTCTGTAAGAAGTTTTGCTTAATCTAATATGACAAATGTTATTATGTTTTTTTTTTTATCTTGCTGAATTGTATTTGTTTGTAGCTGATTAGGAACACAAAGAAGAATAAACAGAAACAACTAATTTCATGCTGTTTCATTACTGGAAGAGTACTGTCATAAGTTAGAGCTGTTATTTTTGTGATTAATGAATTATTAGCAACATCATTACCAATTTGTAATGATTTTCATTGGACAAATGATTGGTTTACACATGATTATCTTGTACATTATTACCTAAATGCTATGATTACTCAAATCCCAGCGAACAAAACATGCATCTATGTAGGAATATGCAAAATCCATTAGAGGTGCACAACAATGCATATATCTATACAAAAGGAAATATAAATGTTTTTGTGGCATAACAGAAATAAATTTGATAATTTGTAGGAAACAATAGAATCTGATTTTTTTTTCATTTTATATATGATACAAATCAAATTAAAAATGATTATAAATCTAAACGGATTCAGATCCCAAATTAACAACATGTAAATAAAATATACTTAACATTGATTAAGTTTTTCATCTGCAACTTTGACTTCAAATAGCATTATTTCACCATATATAAAACCTTTTTTACATACTCTGTATTACTGTATAAAAAAGAGCAGAAACTGATGAGTATCAAGTTTCATTTGAGGTCTGAGACTCGGCAGGTAAGCCACAGAACAGAGAGTTGACCAACAAAAGGACAAGAGCATAAAAAACAGTTTTGTATAATGTGAAATGTGGTGATGAGTGAGTGAAGCTAAACCATGGTATCTTCATTCTCTGATCCAAACAGAAAACATTAAAAGCTAACTCCTCCCAACTGTGTAACTGTCTTGTTCCCATCCTCTTAAAACAGTTATTCATGTTCTAGCGCAGAACCCTGCAACCTTTTACTCAGACATCACCTAAACCTAAAGGTATGGAGGTAGATACCCACATGGGTGATTTGGATTCAGCCGCCGATTAAGACTGTTTCTTATTTTTGTTCTGTCTCAAGAAACACCAAACCGACCCATCTTTTTTCTTGCCAATGTCTTATCAAATTCACAAGGGGAATAGTTTTGTATATTACTATTTGGGCCAGGACTACAAGTTGGGATTAAGTAGGACCAATGTACATTAGTCACTACAGAATGAGTGTAACGTAAAGTTTACATGAGAAGGTCCTAAAATGTTCATTTCTTGAATTGATTTGATCTAAAATTACCGTTTTTGTTGTACATTTCCACTATCTTTTTGGCATATGATGGTGTGAAAGTAGTAATGACCATTGAAACAGTTACACAAAAACACAGATTAACGTTCCAGTAAAACCAATACAATGTTGAATGTTGAATCAGTCTTCCTCTTATTACACGGTGAAAAAGATCAAACAAGAACATATTAATCCTCACTGAAACATTCATTCATCACCAAACATCAAGACGGAGTTCACCAGTAGCAGGTGGCATCCAACGACCAGAATTGTAAACATTCTCACCAACTTTCCATCCCGGAACATCCTTCATTACATCATCTTCGTAGTCTAAATACCTTTTCCACTCCGACACAAACCTATATTAACACAAATATCGTTACTTACTGTCTGAAAACGTTGCAAAAAAAAAAAAAAAAAAACATATCATATAATTACCTTTCATCTTCTTCAGCTTGAAGAATAGGAAGTATAGCTCTACGAGCAGCATACTTCTCTTCCTTCAACGCCCTACACATTCACAAAAAAACTTCATAAGAAGCTAAGAACCATGGCAAACATATTGCAAGTTCATGTTCTATGGTGTATGGGCTTTTACGAGGCCCAAGCCCACTGGGTGTTGCGTACAAACAGTCCACACAGGAGAACGGGATACGGAATCACCAACAACAAGCCAAAAGATTCAAAGATACTTTTCCATTCCATGTAACAAAATATGCTAAAAGAAAACAAAAAATAACTGAGGCTATATGTTTCATACATGTAATAAATTGCACGATAAGTAAATTTAAGTCTGGGTCACTGTAGAGGGAGGACGATGCATGAAATGGCACGACAAGTGTTTGACATGCAATCGCATTTTCTTTAGTTCTCGTCCATCTCATCATAACGCAATTAATTTGGTCATTTATTAATGTTTACACTTTGTGGACTCTTGCTGTCTCTTCCCATTATTATAGTACTTTCAAGTATTTAAGAAAATTAAGAAAGATGTTTAAGTGTTTAGAGTCCCAAATTTATCACCTAAATTTATCACATTTATGTGGCTACTTTGATATCTAACTCTCACGTAAAGTAACCGAATTTATATGTTATTTGTGGGTTGGTTTCATGAGATTAGTCCATCTTCATATCCAGTCCGAATACTCTACTCTCGAATTATTCTTAAAAATAAGTATTTAAGTAATTAACAATTTTGCAAATATATATATATATATATATATATAATCAAACATACTATAGGTTATTAATTGGATTAGCTCTGCAGTTTCTTTGATATAATACCATTTTTTCTATGATACGAGATACTATAAACTCAAGTTCAGAAATGTTCATTGTTAATACTCATAATTTCTCCACGCTTAATTTTGAACATGCATGAAAAAGAGCAGAGAACTTCATACACTAAAACGAACCGTAACTATGATCGACGACTAAACATAGTCACACATTACATAACACGATGGCCAAATCGAAGGAAAACGTTACAAAAACCAAAACGAGAAAATAGATCAAAAGTCACCCTTACGATAACCAACAAAAGAAACTCTACTAATAAAGCTTCATAACATCATCAAGGATGTGGATCAATCCCACCGCCAACTCCACCAACGACGCCGTGTCCACCGCCGATGCCACCAATACCCCCAATACCGCCTCCCTTGCCTATACCACCACCACCACCTACTCCACCTATACCACCCCCGGTTCCGCCTAGACCGCCAACACCGCCGATACCACCTGCTTTACCAATTCCACCACCTAAACCACCAACGCCTCCGATACCACCTGCTTTACCAATTCCACCTCCGACTCCACCAAGGCCGCCAACACCGCCTAAACCGCCGCCTATGCCATGAAAGCCACCGATTCCAGCTGCACCGCCTATGCCACCGTATTTACCAATACCACCAAGACCTCCAATGAGTGGCATACCTAGACCTCCCACGCCTGCGTAACCACCAACTCCCGCGAAACCACCGACTCCTGCTACTCCTCCGATGCATTTTTTGTCGCCAAGGCTTTTTTGTGGTGTCTGATCAGCTGCATTTGCATGCACGAGCGTTGTGGTTGTATCGTCATGTGTCGTCGTCTTGTTCTCATCAAACTCACCCGGCACTTGACGAGCACGTGCATGGACGACAGACAGAGCGAGGAAGACACAAAGGACTGACAAAGCTCTCGACATCTCTCTTTCTTTTCTCAACGCTCTTTTTCTATTTGATATATATTTTATCGATCGTCTCGTATGTTGTTGAGGTTTACAATGAGTTTTCTAGGGTTTATATAGCAAAATTTAGGTTTGGTGGCAGTTGAAAGTCATAAATTTCTCTACGAACATATTTTAAAACATTTTTTCCCTTATTAAAGGCTGTCTGATGATACAACTATACGATTGACAACTGATTGGTCCAGTTTTAAATGTTGGTTCATCTTTGGTTTTGCGTAAATTGTAAGTGGCTTGTTTCGTCACTCTTCAGGTACTACCCGCAAGGGGGATAACACCTTGAACTAAATTTTAATTCGTCCATATATATCATGTTCTTATTTTGTACGTAGTGTAAATTTGAAAAAGAACAACACTAAACAATATAGCAAAACTATACCTATTTACCAATTTGAAGTTTTAAAAAAATACATTTACCACTTTTCTATATTTAAACCTATTAAATACAATACGAAAAAAAAATATTAAATAACTAAAAACGAAGATCAAGTCTATAGCCGAACAATTAGGGTTTGGGAAAATCGTGCCTGGTATTAGAGACTAAGCACACAGAGCCCTATAGTTTCTCATAGCCGGACGATCAGAATTCAGACCGCGATGGAAGGGATAGTGAAAGAACATATATAAAGCTTTTAGCTAGAGTTTGCGTACTAGGATCGATTAAAAACAGAAATTCTGTTTTGTTAGGGATTCATTTATTATATTCTCAGCGTACTAGCTACTCTTATACACAAGAGTTACGATGCATTCGTTTATGCTCTCCTCAAAACTGGCCAAAGTTCTGATCTACAATGGAAAAACAGTAAGGAGTTTTCCACTCCGTAGGGCATTCGTTTCCGCGTCACCAAGGCCCTTACAAGTAAGAGCCAATGGATATTTCATATTCTTTTTCTCAACTAACAACTTTATTTAACAGTTATTCTTCATTTGGTTTTTGTAAAGTCATGATGATTTAAGAAACAAAAGTTTTTTAAAAAGTTTAAGTCATGATATTGGAAATCTGTTTTACTATTGAAGATTTTCAAAACATCTATTCCGGTAGTATCACATTTTAATTCAACTTCAAGTTATAATTAATATGTTGATATCTAATATTACATGCTAACAAGATCTGCTGGAAATTAACTATGCATACAGTGTAGAGAGTTTCATATTGTAATATGTTGTAGGATAATATATATACTGTAATTGATTATGATAAATTAAATAAAGGGAAAAGAAGAGGCAGAGCAATGCCAAAATGTGAAAGAAGCAGCAGATGCAGTGAAGGACGGAGCGAAGCAAGTGAAGGAAACCACCGAGTATATCCAAGATGTCGCTTCCACTACGTCTGGCCGAGTAATTATATAACTCAATTTTTATTATTTGATTATCCTGATTAACTATATATATATGGACGTACCTCTGTATGTATTTGGTTTGATTATTATGATGTTTATATTTCATTGCTTTTGTTAATTAGGTAAGTAAGATGACAAAAGATGTGACGGAAAAGGTTAGTGAAACGACGGATTCTGTCACTGAAAAGGCTAAAGGATCTGTATCTGGAGTGGTGGGTACAGTCAAAAACGCTACTGAGATCATTAAGAACAATGTTGGTGGCGATTAGTTACTAGCACATCTAAATATTTGATATATTTATATATATGTTTCAATAAATTAAGTAGTATTCAAAGTAATGATCGGATCAATGATATCTCTGACTAAATTTGAATATGAATTAAAACCGTAATTCAAATTAAGGCTCGCAAAACGTCTGGACTAAAAGACTATGTCTCAGTTCTTGTAGCATAATAATGGCAAATACGATGTAATATGGTCTCCTTGGTGATGATTGATCTTTGTGTTGAAAGAAAGAATAAAGAGACTTTGTCTTAATTGATTTGGTGGGGTAATGCTGTAAAGGTAAGTACTGAAATGTTTTTGAAAATGATAAATATGTTGTCCACCGTTGTACAATCATATAAAGTCAGGCTATATGAGATCAATATGTATTTATGTTCTAAAGAGTTATTACAAACGTAAAGTTTCTTTTATATGTTTATATTTCGTCCAAAAAAAAAAGTTTATATGAATAATTTTATCCAAAATATTGCATTCTTATTATATCACTACAGGTTTAGATAAAAATATATGTTTTATATTTTGTTTGTGAATTGTTATAGATAATCTTAATGATGTGAAAATAAAAGGTTATCATTATCTATCAGAACATTTTGCTTGTGATTTTTTATCATGTTTTTTTTTTGTCATGTGGGTGCACATGGAGCCGACCGATTTAGCGTATTTTAGGCTTTTCTTGCTTTTCATGTTAACGATCAACTTTCCAAAGAAAAAAGCCAAATATAAACAGATAGGCTAATATTTCTTCCCAACAAAATATATGCTTTTAAGAGGAAAATATATGTTAATCAGTAATATATTCTTTAGAATATTGGGTTTTTACATAATATCCTGACTGAGATTAAGATTTATATAGATCACTAACAGGTTGTTATAACACAAAGCTACTATAGAATGTAAATAACAATAAACCATGCTTTTAGTATATAGAACAATCGCTTTTTTCCAAGTCTCTTTAACATACGATGTCTAGTTGCAGTATAAAGTGTGTATATAATATTTTGTTCTAAAAGTTTACGTGGTAGGAAAGCAAAACTGAAGCTGGCTATTCGAATCTGTCGCAATTAAACTTTTTATAATGTTAAAAATCAAAATTAGCATTTGTGCAAAGTTTTTATAAAACGCCAATTACTATTGGTTGATTGCATCTATAGCTAAAAGGTTCAGTCATAACAAGTTACAAGCACTTGGGAAAATAAAGCTAACAAATCCAGCAAACAAAGAAAAATTACAAAGACAACTAGAAGATTCACAAATCATTTAGATTTTAGACCGTATATTTAAATTATAAACCAGAAGAATACACAAAATAAAAATAAATTCACATTCGTTTTTCTTGTAGGTATATATGAGTTGATCAGACAGAACCAACAACACTTCGGGAGTTTCTCTTTACATGAAAGGTTTGTTTTTCCCCTTTTCTTGTGTTAACTTGCGGTCGAAGCAAGAAAACCCGAGGTTGAGAAAAATTGACACAAACACGCACACAAAAAAAGAAGAAGATAATTGCCTTTTCAAATGACAAATGTGTGAGAATGTACACTTTTGTCTAAATATAATATAACATGGTTATGATTTTTGGTGGTTATGGTGTTGGGAGGAGGTTAATAACAACTATGAGGTACATTGACGTCCTCTGCGGCATGGTAGAGCTCCAGCGTCGTTAGTAATGGTTGCGACCAATGAAGAAGATTTAGCAGCTAGGCTAGAGGCACGTGCGTAGCTACCAGATGCCGCGGCTCCTGAAGCAGTGAAGTAAGCTCCGTTCCTAAGCAAATCTCCTTCGGTTCTCCAATTCCATCCTTTCCAATGACCCGTTGGTGTGCCCACTCTCTTCGTCACCTATCAAAAATATTCACATAATAATGTCACAATCACATAATCACTATTCGAATTTATCGATTTTTGATTAATTATTAATAAGAAGTTCGATGAATTTCCAACTTAATATAAATTAATAATAATTAATATTCTCTCTGTTTTATTTTAGTTGTTATTATAAATTTCTACACATATTAAGAAAATATTTAATTATATATATTTTAAAAATAAAAACACAATTAACTATACAGCTAATCACATTTCAACTAATAAAAAATAGAAAATTATATAAAGTTAATAAATTCTACATCGCAATTATAAAACGACACTTATTTTAAAACAATTTTTTTTCTCTGTAACGACATGTAAAACTGAAACGGATGTAGTATAAATTAATAATAATTATTTAAGATATATTTTAATTTTGTATGTAGGACAATGTCCCTAATAGTTACCTCTTTAGCAAAAGGATTTTTAGGGGCTGCATAGCGGTTTCCTTGACTGTTGATTGTTGGGTTTGCACTTCCACCTATGGCATACATTTCCCAATGAGTATAGTCGTTGTTCACGACATGGAAGTACCCGTGCCGACACCTGCATGAACAGTTAATCACATTGGTCAGAAAACAAATCATAGAAACAAAGTAAACAGAGCATACTCCTGTTTTTGTTCTGTCTTTAAATATACCTTGGCATTCTTTGAATAAGTCCGACCCCAAAATGGTTAAAAGCAATTGTAACTTGCATGGCTTTATCCCTCGTGTAAGAATCACTATGTCCAAGCAACATAACCTCGTTGTGGTGAGTCATGTGGTTGTTAGAGATTGTAATCGCGGTCGAGCCCATGATAGCATCCACAAGCCCATCAGCACAATGAGACAACGAATTGTGATCAATCCAAACATGACTCGAACCAAAGATGGAGATCGCGTCACCATCAGCCATCGTTCTCCACCCAAAGTGCGTCTCTGAGCTTCTAACCATAGCGTTACCGGTCGGTTTACAATCATGAATATGCAATCCATGGACGATGACGTTCGTCACATACTGAATCGTGATGCAACCGCCGTTAGCGATGTGAACGTTTGCGCCGCGTCCGTCTATCGTTTTGAAGCTGTTGACGATTAGTTCTTGTTTTAACTGAATCACCATGTCACGTTTGAAAACGATCCATAGTGGTCGGTCTTGGATCACGGCGTGACGTAATGTTCCCGGTCTAGGGTTAACCGGGTTGTCGTCTCTTGGGTCAGTGACTACGTAGAAACGCCCGTCGCGACCGCCGATAGCGTTTCTTCCAAATCCGATACCACAGTCTGCTAGGCGTTTGCGGTTCTTGTGCCAGTTGCGATCGCATCGCCAGCAATCGTCGATTGGGTTGCCTGTTCCGCAAGTAAAGTAACCTAGCTTCCTCCTCTCGGTATGGTTTCTTACACTCCTGTAAAATCATACCCGGTTTAGACTGGTTTCATTTTATTTTTCTTCCACAAAAACTTAATATTAATAATTTTGTTTTTTTTAAAAAAAATCACACAAGAACATGTGCACGTAGCATGGTTGATGATAAATTCATAAATACTTGTGTATAGTAGACTTTTTTTCATAGACGTGTGTCGGTGGGATTAGGTTTTCTAACTAATAAGATTCTTGAAGCAAACGGCGTTATAGAGAATCGTTAAATTGTTCTGTTACGACCACATGTGAACTGTCAAAAATTATTATAATAAATTCTATTTTTGGCACCTCTTTGAAATACGTAGGGTTGTATTAATATTAAAATTTCACAATAACAGTTTATTGTACGTATTTTGATAGTAAATATTTAACGAATTTTCAGTGTGTACGTATGGCTGGTGATATGAAAGATAGTTTAATTTGGGAGAGGACATGTATGCTATGCAAATCAATAATGCGTTGGACACGGATCTGCATAGCATTGGTGCATGTGGTGTTTGCGATGAAAACTGAAAACTGTCTGCTATAACCAGTAGCTCAACAACGATTGGGAGCGAAATAGGGAAAAAAACTTGATAATTTAAAGATAGTATTAGAAATGTAATATAACGAAATTACCTTGTAACATATCAATGCATGCAACAAGTAGCAGGTGATATAAAAATGTATACAGTTCTCTCAGAGTAAGATTAAAATAGACAGAAAAATCACAATAAAACCCTTTGTCAAAAAAAAAACAAAACACAAAAAACACAATAAATATCTCGTATGATGAAAGAAAAAACTTAATAGATATCTTACTTAAAGAAATAATCCTGACAGAAATAATTAATGGCAAACGGTCACGGGACTGGATCTCACTAGTAGCAAGAATAAATAATAGTGTGAACATGGGGATTTTTAGATGATATATAAAAATAGTAACAAAGTGTGAATGAAGTTGGTTAGAGAAGAAGTAAATGTGACAGCATTTTTAGGCTAGATCTTGATGCAACAATAGAGTGAAACAAAAGCCACAATTGCACAATTATAAATGAATAATAGTTATGACTTTTTTTTTTCAGATCATAACAAATACTAGGAAATATAGAAATGAAAATGACATTCGTACTTACATTTCAGCCAAGGCGATAACTTCGTCAGCTACTTCATCTGGGTTCGTCACTGCGTGTCTGTTCCATTCGATTTCGTCCGATCTAAGAAAAATTGTAGATCACACATTACAACACATATAGAAACATTTTTGTAATACATTGGACAATGCATACTATAACCGCTCAATAAACTTGGTAACCAGATAAACCGTTAAATCATCTCTAACTCTATTTTTTTAATTTGCATATATATAATAGCATTTACAAACAAATCTATTTCAATTCATTCTATTTATATTTCAAACACACATTTAAAAAAAAAAAAAAAATTTATTTTATTTTAAATATAGATGCATACATAGTAGAATTTAATTTATTATACTATATAGTTTCTGTACTTTAGAAAAAGATTAACAAAACGCACAGAAAATGGCTTTAGAAAAAGGTTGTCTTCTGACATAGTAACTATTAAATGGCGAAAGTGACCCTATCAAACAATTCCGACACTACGTAGCTCGTCAAACCGGTAAATCTAACAGATGCAAGTTAAGCGTTGACTCAGAAGTGTATCTATGCAAACTAGAAAGCGTAATGTACGGTCTAGATCTTTAGATCTGGA